AGTATCTGGTGCAGGGGAGTATCTGGTGCAGGGGAGTCTCTGGTGCAGGGGAGTATCTGATGCAGGGGAGTATCTCATGCAGGGGAGTATCTGGATGCAGAGGAGTATCTGATGCAGAGGAGTATCTGGTGCAGGGAGTATCTGATGCACGGGAGTATCTGGTGCAGGGAGTATCTGGTGCAGGGGAGTCTCTGGTCAGGGGAGTATCTGGATGCAGGGGAGTATCTGGTCAGGGGAGTATCTGGATGCAGGGGAGTATCTCATGCAAGGGAGTATCTGGATGCAGGGGAGTATCTGGTCAGGGGAGTATCTGGATGCAGGGGAGTATCTCATGCAAGGGAGTATCTGGATGCAGAGGAGTATCTCATGCAAGGGAGTATCTGGATGCAGAGGAATATCTGGTGCAGAGGAGTATCTGGTGCAGGGAGTATCTGATGCACGGGAGTATCTGGTGCAGGGGAGTATCTGGTGCAGGGGAGTCTCTGGTGCAGGGGAGTATCTGATGCAGGGAAGTAGCTGAATGCTAAGAAATACTTGTTCCCAACGTGACAAGATAAATGAAAAGGAATGGGTAGATCAAGAAAACCCCAGAAATAAAGAGCCTGCACTTAGGGTGAACATCAGTCTTACAGCCCCAGAGAAGGGACCGTGGGCTCCATTCCGTTAGTGTCACGGCCTTCTTTACAAGTCACCCAGGTGGTAAAACATGTAAGTGAAAAGTACTTGGTTTCCAATTTGTTTTTATTAGTGTGATGTGAAAAAACAAATCCTGGCAAATAAAAGGATTTTTGAGGAAGCTAACCAAAGGCTTATCTCCCTCTATAAAAGGGTCAAGTCGACGTTAGGGAAGGCTCACACACACTCAACTTAAAGGCAATTTGTTAAACGGCCCAGAGCTTCTGTTCCGGGAAGTTCAGCGGGATCGATATTCGAATGACGGGGACTGGGGGACAGTCAGCCTTCCACGTCACACGGGAAACCCCTCAGGGCCGTGGACAAGGTGGGGGTCAGTCCTGTCTGGATGCGAAACTAGTCCTAAGTCAGTATCATCGAGCCAGCTCGGCGGCGACAGGCAGGACGCATCTCAAGGTGACAGCAAGGAATCCGACTTGAGCGAAGGCACCGGCGAGACGCGGCTGGCTCCCGGCGGGGCAGCCATCTTCAGAGCGGCCCCGCAGGCGGGCTTGTGGCCCTGCTGGGACCGCGGGGCCACGTGGCTGCCAGTCTCCTATTTGTCCAGAAGAGTCTGTTGAACTGCAGAGGACAGAGACGTAAGGACACAGTTGACAGGCACCCCGGCTCCCCCCACACGCGCACGAACGCAGCTTCCAACCCTACTTCCGCCCGAGGGCCTGAGCTCAAAACTGCTTGCAGGCAGGAAGCAAAAAACTAGATCTAATCGGCCAGGGAAAAAATTCAAGAAATTTCATACTACGATGCCATGGTGGCTAGAAGCAAAGAGATACTTCGGGGAACACAGAGAGGAAATGGAGGGCGCATTCTCTGCCAGCGACTTTTCTGAAAAGGTAAGAAATGCCAGTAAAATAGCCAATTTCAGAACAAATAATGTTCTAAATGAGGGCCCGCAGCGTTGGTCAATTTGCAACGATTTGGGGCTAAGGTTTTATGGTCAGTTCGTTTATGTTTTAGAGGGCTGTTTTGCATTTGGGGTGCTTAAAAATGACGGCTCATTTTAGGGGGGAGGGTGTAGCTCAGGGGTAGAGCGCGTGTTTAGCACACAGGAGGTCCTGGTTCCACCCCAGTGTCTCTTCTAAAAACAAATAAATCAATCAATCTAGTTACCTCCCCTACCAAAAGAAAAAGGAAAAAAAAAGAATTAAAAATACTATGAATATATAAAAAAAAAGATCGCTCATTTTACACATCTTTTCTTTATTAGAAGCAGCCGTGAGCGAGACCCCAACTTTCTGAACGTCTCTGTCTTTGGCGTTCAAAATATTTTAACATTAAAAACTCATCTCCATTCCACAGGTGTCTTATTCGATAAATGCTGCCTCCCTTGGGCACAGGAGTGAGTCTCCACAGAAGCACAAAAATGAAAGACAGAAACACACAGGCATATACAGCCGTCGTTGTGTCTTCCTGACATTTTCAAGAGTGGCCCCGAGAACTTTCCGTCATTTAAACTACCTCCTCTCGGCCCGAGTTCCCACCTGGTTGGGGGGGAAGTCTTGTCAAAGTGACCAGAAGTTGCCTCTCAGAGGTTGCACATTCTGACCACGCAGCCACGGGGCACCACTTGGACGATCATTGCCCCCAGGATTTAAAGAGACCTTAAAGATGGCTTGGGTCCCCTCCGAAGCCTCAGGCCCAGGGATGTTTATATCTCGCCTCCCAAACGCATCCCCTTGAAAGCTACGAAGCATGAAGGACCACAAAGCCGGATTTGAGAAAGGCGGGCAGGACCGCGGTGGGAGGACGTTGAACAGAAATGCTGGGGGGGGGGGGTGACACTCAGTGTCCCTTCTCACCAGGTGGCTCAGCGTTGGTGCTCTGATGGTTTTCCATATTGACCTCGCCCTGGTCGGCTGCAAGGAAGAACAAACGCCGCAAGGGGGTGAGCACAAAGGCACCACACCCTGGTCATGGTTCTCAGGCAGACCCAGCCCCCACCGGCCCACCCAGCCGTCCGCCCCAAAAGCAAAGGCCCGCCCTGCTCATGCTGCCGGAGGGCTCGCCTCGTGGCGTCCTGCCATCTTCCCGCAGTGTTCTTTCCATCTGTTTTTTTACTTCCAAAGTTTGATTCCACAATCTCTCCAACAGGCATCAGGCTGAACAAAACCCCACCCCCGAAGGTTCTCCGAGCACCCGCGCGGGGCAGCAGAATTCAAAACGCACGACAGGTTCCAGGTCCAAACATGTTTATTTCTTTGCTGCGCGGTTGTGAAGGCGTAGGAAGCACACGTGACATGAAAGGAGCCAGACGAGCTCCCGGGACCCGTGACAACGGCGTCCCCGGCTGCCAGAGCACAGCGGCCTCGTCCCGGGGTCAACAGCCGGCCCCACTTTCCATCCGGGTCCCAGAAACATGCGTCACCCTCTCTGGGAACTGGATTTTGGTAAGGTGTCGCCCTCTCCACTGACCACGAGAGGAGACCCCAGTTAGAGACCAAAATCCTGAGGTTCAAAAAAGAAAAGGAGAAAGACAAAAAGAGAGAGAAAGAAAGGGAGAGAGAGGAAGAAAGAAAGGAAGAAAGGAAGGAAGGAAGAAAGGAAGGAAGGGAAGGAAGGGAAGGGAGGAAGGAAGAAAGACACGCAAAGAGGAGAGTATTCAAAGGGACCTATGAACATCGTGCAGGACGGTGGCCACACATGTCCTGTCTTCTGCTACTCAGGCAGGTAATCAACACAGATACATATTAGAGCGAACGGTTATGGCAAGAAATCCTAAATATGCTTTCATTTCACAAGCTAAGCCACCCCCCCCAGCCCAATTTAAACGGAAAAACAAAAGAAGAGGAAAAGAAAAGACAGAAAGAAACGCAGCAAAAATACTCTAATGGCGCTGTGGAAAGCCTACATCGCATCTGGCAGTGTTTAAGGAAACGGGGAAAAAAATGCCTGTGTAAACAGTGAAGTGTGCCAAGAACAAAATCCGTTTGGGGCCAAACGTGATTTCCAGCAAGTAAAGAAGTTATGTCCAGTTCCCCACTATCTGAATAAACATTTCGGGCTGGAGGGGAGGGATGGGGTGGGCACACTGTATTTCGACGTTGCTGTCACAACCGCCGGGCATCTGGGGAGAGCCTGAGGGTGGGTGCCTCGTGGGTCAGGAGAGGACCCAGCGAAGTCGGCACATACAGGAACGGGGCAAGGGCACCGCCGGCCGTGATGACAGTGGGGCTCTGCCCTCCGGGGCGGGGGGTCTCCAAGAAGCCGGGATTCTGCCTTGTTGAGACCATGTTTAGCTGGAGCCAAATGTGACCCGGAGCGAGAACAGCCCAGTGGAGGGTGCCCACACCCGGGAGGAGCATTTAGAGTCCCCATTGCAGGGTTGTCAACCCAGCTCCAGATACGAACCCCCAAACCTGCAACTCAGCCCCCATAAGACCACCACCCATTCACCTTGACCCTCAGCCAAGGTCTGAATAAAAGAGTAATGTTTACACCCAAAAAGGAGCTGGTCTGATGTGACAAAGGGGGGAAAAATGTCATGATTTCCATGCATACAGGGATATGCATAAGGATGCAAAAATTCTCAGTGTCCACAAGACCCCATCACTCACCCTGCTCTGCTGACCTTAGAATTTTAAGATCCTGAAGTTTTTTTTTAGGTTATTCCTAAATGTGCAGATTTTTTTTTTTTCCTGCTGAGAACCGGGAAGTTTACATATTTGGAAAAAAAAAAGTTAGACGGAGAGAGAGAGTTAATTCTTGGAAAAGGACCACACAAATCCAGGGGCGATGGAAGCAGACTGTTAAAAACTGCACCATCGGGGGGAAAGATGAAACCCTACGACCCAGGACAGGGCAGGGAGGAAGGCGGCCGCCCCTGCCGTCCATCCTCCCGGAGGACCCACTGGCAAGGAGGGACCGGAGGGTGAGAAACCTGGTTCGTCCATGGGAACCCGCCCCTAAGCCTCATCATTGCTTCCTTTCAGATTTCCCTTTGCAACAGAATCTCTGCATCTCTCTTCCCTTTTCTGAAGCTCCCCGTGCCTCAAAATATAAGGTCGTAAGCTTCTGCACATCCGAAAGGGAGCAAACATGAAGAGCTGGGGGGATGGAGTCCGGGCTGGGGGAAAACACATCACTGCGGCGACTGCCCGAGACAGGACACGGACACAGGGGCAGGGTGTGCTCTGTACTCCGCGTCCTTGTAGACAAACACGGATCAGAGAGGACGACCCGGAGGCCCGCCTGGGGTCTTCTGCTCCCTACATCTTCGACTCATCTGAAACGGAAGGTCGAGAAAGGGAGACAAAAATAAAAAGAAAGAAAGAAAACAGAAGTAAAGTTCCAAGAGGTCTTTTTGCAGGTGAGTGCCCACGGCCCAGGCAGCAGCGAGCTGTTAGAAAGACGTCCTCTGTGGGGAGGGGTAGCTCAAGTGGTAGAGCACGTGCTTCGCATGCATGAGGTCCTGGGTTCGATCCCCAGTCCCTCCTCTAAGAATAAATGAATAAATATAATTATCTTCCCATTGCAAAAAAAAAAAGAAAAGAAAAGAAAGAAAGAGCTCTTCTGAGCACAATGGTTAAGGAGAGAGGCTGACAGAGCAGCGAGCAGCAGCGGGTGGACTCAGAGTGGACAGCAAAATTGAGGAGGGGGAGGGGAGGAAAGGGAGAGAGACATGAGAGACAGATGATAGAGCAATGGGTAGATACGCAGATAAATGACAGATACGATGGATGGATAGATACACTGATAGCTAGTTACATAGACAGATACATGAATACATGGAGGACGGATGGATGGATGGATAGATAGATAAGATGGATAGATACATGAATGGATGAATGGATAGATAGATAGACAGACAGACAGACAGACAGGTAGACGGATGGATGGATAGATAGATAGGAAGGTAGGTAGGTAGGATGGATAGATACATGATGGATGGACAGACAGACGGATAGATACATAAATAGAGAAGGAAGGGAAGGGCGAGGGGAGAGAGAAATGAGTGACAGATGATAAGACAAAAGGGTAGATACATAGATACGTGATAGGATAGATGGATGAATTTGATGGATGGATGGATAGATACATTGATAGATACTAACATAGGTAGATGAGTAAATGGATGGATAGAAAGATAAAGATTGGCAGATACATAAACGGACAGATAATAGATAGATATGATGGTATGATGGATGGATGGATGGTTGGGTGGATGGATAGATGGATGGATGAGTGGAAAACTAGATAGACAGATGTAACAGAGGGAAGAGGGAAGAAGGGAGCAAGGAAGGAAAGAGGGAGGGAGGGACGAAAGGACATGACATTTCACTGAAGCCACAAGAATCTGATTCCACCAAACACAATGGAAGCAGCTGTCTAATGTGCTGTGAGCCACAAAAATCAGCCATCGTCCACACCAAGGGACAACCACCACACACTGAGCTGTCCAAGCAGGTCAGACTCAGCACAGCCAGGCCCCGGAGAGTCACGCGGACCGCCACTCTCAGGGAATAACGCCAAACCGCGGTTTCTCCACGGATGTAGCCACACCCTTCTTGCAAAACCGCCAAGCTCACAGTTCCGTGGGTGTTTACACATCTTAAAATGAACAGACGTAGCACTGAAATTTTGAATCCAGGTATCAGGTGCACAAAACTTATAAAAAGAGTCCTTTGTGGACTCCCCAAAAGATCGGGGATCTTCGGCGCATCTGATACCTGGATTCAACATGTCAGTGCTGCCTCTGTTCACAAAAACATGCAACGGACAATAAACAATTCACTTTCTAAGGCAGGTCTGAAAACTGAAATGTCTAGTCACAAAGAAAGATGCTCACTGGTCTGTGTTAGCGATCCCTTGCTCCACCCCTGTTTTTTGGGGTTTTTTTTTTATGAGAACAGCACCTAATTTTCTTTGTATTGACGCTGGATACCTTACGGCTGGAGACAAAAGTGCCTAATTACTGAAATAAGAAATCCAGTCGGCTTCCCTCATGATAATTTGCAACCCTCCCCCACCTTTTCCTTTGCACGTTGCCATCAGCTCAGGATGGCGAGCCACATGAAAGCCACAAAGCCAGTCAAAACGTAGAGTCGCACCCAATTTTTGTAGGACATATTCCAGGGAAATAAATTTAGCCAACCTCTCCGCTGTGTGACTTGAATTCTAGTCTGCCCTGAGCCAGTGCTTCTGAAACGATGCTTTGCTTTTGTTTTTAAAAATTATTAAACTCGACGATTTCTTCTTGGGAGGGGAACTTTCCGTCTTCACGGCCACCCCTACCCCGTGCAATGGACTGGATACTGGAACCCAAGACCGAGAGCCAGAGGGGGAAGGTAGGGGGGGACACAGAATGCTTGAGTTCCCCAATTTCTGAATCCCGTTTCCAAACACTGTGTCACATCAGGTCTATGAAGACTCTGGGGAGCCTCCCAAAATTGCTGTGTCTTGACATACCCCTACCCCAGAGATTCCTCCACCCCATTCACAAGGGAACAGAAACGATTAGCAACTCCAGAACTCAACTGGGGTTCACCTACAGACCTTCAGAAAAGCTTCCGGAAAGGGTTTCCCATGCTCCCGTCCCTAGCGAGCATGCCTTACGCCCCTCCTCTCCTGGTGCTAGGAGAATCAAGACGGAAAAAGAGTTGTGTGTTCCCCTTCTGGTTCCAACTGTACATCTTTCATAAGTATGTCCTGGAACGTGGCCACCTGTCCATTTGGACCTCGCTGGGCACTGAGCATTCAGCCAGCCACGCTTTCCTGGTGGAGGGCGCCCACTCACAGGTGGGAAATAGGACGCAAGCAGGCCCCCTTCCCCTCCACTGCAAGAAGACACATCTGTAAAAACAGCGGCTTGTTTCAGGTCTGAATCCTAATGCTGGGCAGGACTTTCCATTTCGGGCTCTGAATAGTGTTTGTGGACCTAAAAATAGGGACTGATGGAAGATGAAGGGCAAACTCCATCCCTAGGGTGTAACCCGGCCTCCATCAGCATCCAATCGGGTCTTCTGGGAATTTCCCAAGCACCCTCGGGAAGAGGTCCTAAAGAACCGAGGACGTCAATGGCTCAACAGCCAAGGATGAATAAGGACTTACGATCCTAGGTACGATGGAAGTTCAGACACCACAAGGCTCCTCCAAGGAGGCGGAGCTGTCCAGGGGGCCCCCGCAAACCACGTCACAGCCCACCCTTCACTGGTTCTGCGAGAGTGAAGGCGAGACCTAGACAGAGCTTTGTGCAGACGCACGAACGTTAGCTATGAGCCCTCGCTGACGTCATCAGGACAAACAAGTAGCACAGCATTTCAGTCCAAGGTCCCCCGAACACCCAACGATGGCCTTCCCGTCGCTGTGCTGGTAACTGGCACTCCCTATGCACGTTGCCCTATACACTATCCATCCCGTCCAACTTTCTCGGGGACCTGTCGGCACTGGGTTCCAGCAGAAAGGGCATCGGTTGCTCAGTGTTTCAATTTTCATTCTCTTCGGTGGAGAAAACAATATGGCGGCACCAAGGCCACCACTCTTGCCCCAGTGATGACCAACGCAGACAATGATGACTACATCAAAAGAGCTAACGTTTCTCCAACACTCGCTCTCTGCCAGGCATCCTGTCAAGACTTTCCCACACGACCTGATTGATCGTCACAAAAACCCCATAGCGTACAGACCGTCACCTGCCCCCCTTTATAGAATCTCCCCCCAAAGTGGAGTCGTTAGTAACTTGCACAAGCTCACATGGCCAAACACAGGAAGCACTGGCATCGAAGCTGCAAAGTCAGATCCCAGTATTCTAGTGATTTTAGGAACCGTCAGCCACGTGGCACGGGTTTCCCACCAACCAGAGTTCTGCTTTTGGCATTTTTAAGAGAAAACACAGTTTTCAAGTGAGCAACGCACCGCAGAGGAGGAAAGAGTGGTGACAGTCTTACCGTTCTCTTTGAAGCACAACTTCTTTTTCTGGTAGGCAATGAAGCTGGAAATGGCTCCAGCCACGGCGACCACGACAGCCCCGATGATCCCGGGGACCACCCCCTGGGACTCGCCTGTGGGAAGAAGCACAGGGCACCAGGACGGGGGGACACTCAGCATTCACAGAGAGACCACGGGGCAGGTGGGCGGGGACTGGCCCGGAGGAAGAGATGGGGTTGACTACTGAGACGCAGGGCCACCAGGTAACCACGGAGGGAACCCCACTCCTGAGCCTTTCCCCCGACAGCCACATCTGGTATCGGAATTAACTGGTTTCCAGTGGGACAACGAACCCTATGACTTCCCCATCCCTGTGACCAGCGCCGGTGTCCGACCGTCCCCATGAGGAAACTCACACATCCCACCGTGGAAGGTGCCCAGCTGGGACCATTCAGACACCTTGTGACCCCGCACAGCTGGATTCCCCGGTCTTCATACCCATTCTAGAGAACCAAAGCCACCGACTTCCTCATTATGTTCATTTGATTTATTAAGATGGGGTCGCTATCCACCTGCCCCTGCCCCACGTCTACACCTCTTTCTTGGTGTGGCAGGTGCACGAGGCATCCTGCTCTATGAATAAAAAGGAAGGATGGTGTGATGGTTAATTAAGCATCAGCTTGACTGGCCAAGAAATGCCCAGGTAGCTGGGACAACACGATTTCTGGGTGTGTCCTGGTAAGTCTCTCCTGAAAAGATGAACATTCAAACACTCTGAGTGAAGCAGGCTGCCGTCTCCAATGTGGACAGGCAGCCTCCAGTCCACCGGGAATCTGAGCAGATCAAAAAGGGACAGTGTGCTCTCTGCTGGAGCTGGGACATCCATCTTCCCCTGCCCTTCGACACGGATGCTCCTGGTTCTTGGGATTTGGGACTCGCACCATTGGTTGTCCTGGTTCCTGGTGCTTTGCGTGGAAACTGAACTGCACCCGAGGCTTTCCTGAGTCCCCAGCATGCAGACAGATGACCGTGGTGTTCCTAGCCTCCACAACTACGTGAGCCAACTGCACATGATAAATGTCTTTCTCTGCATCTCTAGAGAAGCCAGCGGTTGTTTCCCTGGGTCATATTGATGGCATTCTTACTCAGGGTCCTTGGGGAGGGACATTGAACTTCAAAAGCAGGTCCCGTTGGCACCCAGCTCTGGGAGTGTCAGAGGTGGGCGGGCAACCTCACTTTACCGCGCTTCGCAGATTCGCGCTTTCTACAAATTGAAGCTTTGTAGCCACCCCACCTCCAGCATGTCTGTGGGCGCTATTTTCCCGACACCAGTGGCTCCCTTCGTGCGTCTGGGCCACATTTTTGTACGTCTTCCCATATTTCAAGGTTTCTCATTACAATTATACTTGGGATGGTATCTGTGATCAGCAATCTTGGACTCACTGAAGGCTCAGAGTCTCAAAATGCTGGTTGGCATTTTTTAGCCATAACGTGCGGACACTGTTTTTACAGGCATCATTGTCACCGCACACTTCACAGACCACACCGTCTAGTGCGAACATCACTTTTC